AGAGAGAGAGAGAGAGGGAGAGAGAGAGGGGGAGAAAGCATCTCGCGGTCGGCGCAGCTGCGCTTGCACGGTTACACGCCGTTTATAAAGGCGTTAACTGAAATCTATGGCCTTTATTTTTACCGTGTCCGCGCGCTGGATTCTGTGTACATTTCGCGCCCTTATCGACAAATCTCACCCCGGCGATAAGAACGAACGAACGGGAATTCCGTCTCTCTCTCACGGAACCGCTGGAAACGGTGAAATTCGGTGCTATCCGGTGCTTTGTATTCCATCGGCTTCCGATGATCTCATCGTCCGGCATTTCGAAGGTGTTCGGACCGGGCCAACTGATTCTTAACAATTTTCCGAGTATCCTTTCCCTGGAGACTGTGGATCGCATAATCATTCGGCGGACCGTTTTCTTTCTCAGACTTGAAACACCTTTTACACGAAAAATTCTATTCGAATGACAGATAAGAGACAAAGATTAACGAAAAAAATTGTACTCGATAAATAATAAATAAATTAAAAGTAAATACAAATAAAATTCGAAATATTGGTTTGGGGAATAAGTTCGTAGCGTTTTTATTTGAAGGCGATTTTCTTTGTTGTTTTCGTTAAGCTCGTGAGACACCCAGGCTTCCAATTTTTCGGCAAATCCCATTGAATGAAGATGATTGAGAATCGTTTTATGATCGCTGTTCATTTTCTCGGCCAATTCACGACTTGTTTGGCGACCGTCCTCCTTGAAAAGTGCTTTGAGACGCTCCTCGTCGAAATCAGAAGGTCTTCCGCTGCGGGGCGTGTCGTCGACATCAAAATCGCTATTTTTGAGCTTCGCAAACCATTTCCGTGCTATCGATACGTTGCAAATGTCCGGGGCTGCTTCAGCAGCTTCTTGGCCTCGATGAAAAGCGGAGAAGAGAAGGTGTCGAAAATGTTGCTTTTTACCTCCTGGATATTCCATTTCTAAGCCTCGAAAGTAATAAACAATTAAATTACTCGGAAAGACGATTAGCACAGTTTTGTAGAGTAGAAAGATAATATTGTAATACAATATTACATATTATATAATATTGTAATACAATATTACATATTATATAATATTGTAATANAAAAAATCGTTGTAAAATAAAAGAAAATATAAAAACGCTACTAACTTATTCCCCAACCTAATAAATACAAATAAAATTCAAAATGAATTATTCGATTATCGACTAAATATCTATTCGAATATTTGAAAATTCGCGTGTGTAATTTGGAGTGGCCAGTCCTCGGTCAGGATAACAGTTTTTTCCTTTCTTATTTTTCCTGTTCGTATTGTTGCGTAGAATTGGTCGGTCAAAGTTCCGTATCGCGTTGCGTATTTTTATTATTTGGCTACCGTTCCTCGATCTCTGGAGAGTAATTTTTACTGCGAAAGATTTTAGCATGGTGAAGGAATCGGCCGTGGTGGTAATCAGCGCCTGCGAGCCAGCACCTGGCGAGGTGCCGGACGTGAAACACAATTACAAGATATTCAAGACGATCATCCCGGGCATTGCGAAATTCGCTTGCAAGTCTGTGCTGTTGGTGGTAACGCAGCCGACGGACGTGATGTCCTACATCACTTGGAAGCTTTCGGGTTTCCCGTCGAATCGTGTTCTGGGCACCGGTACTCTGATCGACTGTGCCAGGTTCCAGGATATCGTCAGTCGGAGGCTGAACATCGCGAGGAGCTCTGTTAACTGCATGACGATCGGGGCTCAAGGGGATATGGCAGGTATCCTATGGGATCGAGGAATCTTTTTTGTTCTTTCTCCAAAGTGACGTTTTTCTTTCGCAGAAGATACAAATGCTCCGTAGTCAAAAAATTTTTAATAAATACAAAAAAAGTTTACGTTACTTATAACCGGAAAAACATCGATCTTTATATACGTATAAATTAACAACGAATTAATTAAGGAGATGGAATTTTGTTCTGATATGTAAAGTAAAAGTTGCAAATCGTGATGCATAATCTCCTCGATTATTTTTATTTACGAAGCAGATGCTTTTGTAGCTAAATTTAAGAAAATGATAGAGGAAGAAAATATAAGTTTGGAAAATGTTTATAGATTAAAATAATCTCCTCGATTATTTTTATTTATTGTTGTTGCAGAATATTACGATCGAGGGAGAAACAAGAGAACAAAATATTTTTGCAATATTACGGCTAAAAATGAGGCTGAATAGAGAAAGGAAATGTTTGTTCGTTGCTTGCCTGCATAAATTGTAATTGCCACATGTCGACGACAGAAAAATTGAAATTTATTGTCGCTTAAAAGGATCGAATAACGTCTATACTTAGTAGATTTTGTTCGAATTCTTAACGACGAAACCGACGCGCTCGTTATAGCGCAAAAGATCAGCATTTGTCCCTTGTATTTTTGTCAGTGATTAGCGCGTGAAAATGAGTGACTATTTTCTAGTGCCTGTGTGGTCAAGCATCCACGTCGGTGGTATGAAACTCCGTGATATAAATCCCAGAATCGGCGAGGCAGATGATCCAGAAAAATGGTACGAAATTAACGAGGCTGTAAAGAACAGGTTCGTATTCTTGTCCTGCACTCAAGTATCACCTTACAGCTACCATTGTACCTTCTCTCGGCTGAACGCATTGTCTACCTCGAACGATTACGCTATTATTTTACCAATATTAAAACTAAGCTTGTTTTAACACGTTGAATGCCTCGAGGGTCACCGGTGACCGACACTTAACTTTGCGGTGACGCCATGGGGGCCACCGGTGACCGGCGCGCCCAAATTGATAGAAATATATATAATTTCAAACAAATGTCAATATCTAAAATTTTGTATTATTACCATCGTCGATTCGAACTGTGATCCCCGTCGCAATTGACACGTCAAACATGGTTATACATTGTAACTTATCTGTTGCAGATAATATTTCAACATTATATGTATCGCATAAAAGAAAATTCATCGTGGCGCCACGGGCAATTTCTGTAAAACCGGTGTGGCATTCAACGTGTTAAACAACATCCATTTGCTTGAAAGTCTCGGCAACGAGATTAAGCTAATTTAAACGATTAATTTAACAAAATGTCCAGTGGCAAGCAGCTCGACGAAAAGAAGGGATTAAACTGTTGGGGACAAGCTCTCTGCACTGCGGAAATCATAGACGCCATTGTCAGGAATACCAAAGTTGTCCTACCAGCGTCAACGCACATACACGTAAGACCGTATCGCCAACAGGTGGTGTTTTATTTGATTTTATTAGATCGCGAACGCTTATCGGTAAAACGCGGATTTTCATGAGAAATAAAAATTGTCTGCAGCCGTTGCGAAAGACAGGAGTCACTTAGAAATTTCATTTCTTCTTCGACAATTTTTTTTTTTTTAGTAGATCGCAAATGCTATATTGACATTACTAAATGCTTAACAGTAAAGTAAATAAATTTAACGATATCATGGTTAAAGCACGTAAAAGTTTATCTCATCGAAGAGACAACGATGATGTAAATTACAAGCGTCTTATTTGTGTTTTGTGGAAATTGTGAAGAATGCGCGAGCTATCAGATTAGAAGATCGATCGACTGTTCCACACGTTGACCCTTCTACAATGTTTCTGATCCGTGTGATTCGGACCGTGCATCAGTCTTACGCAACTTCTTTATTTACCACATTATGCAGTTTTCATCGAATTCTGCAAATTTCTACTTCCTTTCCTATTTCCATGTCAACGATTATATCCTTCCGTATAGTAAGCTTGAAAACATTGCATTGCACTGAAGTTTCAAACATCTGCAGCTATGTATCGAACAGAATCTCAACACCTTCGACATCAAACGATTCACTCGCCGACGAACGAACGAACAAACAGAGCACCGATAATACTAACCTATTAACTAAATAAACTAAATTAACTATTAACTTAACACGTTCCGTGCCGAGCTTTTTTTACTCGAATCTTCACACTTTGATATTTTACTAAAACTTGATGTATTACGTGCAATTATTAATTCTCGTACACATAACAACGTAACAAAAACTTATCAACGCCCATTCTTGCGGTGGAAATTGATTCTTCGGTTCTAAATTTCTTGTAAACAATTTGTTCAGTTCACTAAGTAAACATGCAAGCGTGTACCATCGATGGTACACGTGGCACGGAACGTGTTAATAACAAAATAACCGACCAATCCTGAGTCGATCAAAGAATCACCTTGTCGCAGAGACTCCTATCTGCCACTAAAACTGCCGCGAACGTTGTACAAGGGTTACTCGATCAAACGCAACGAAACGAAACGAAACGAAACCTGCTGAAGGGCCTCGGCGTCGAGCACTCGCGAGGAAAACGCGTTTCTCGGTGCGGCGAACGCAGAGGCCGCGCCGATTTCCGCTTCTCCCTAATCGATCTTTGTGCTCAGAGCTGTGCCCACGGGACGGACAAGGACGTGTACATGTCGGTGCCCTGTGTGATCGGCCGGGAAGGTGTGTATTGCACTGTTAGGCAGAAGCTGAGCGAGCCGGAGAAGACCGCGGTGCAGACGTGCGCCGACAGCATCCGAGGCGTACTACGGGAATGCGGTATTCTCCAGGAGGCGCAAAACGACACCGTGGAGTGAGCCCAGGCCCGATAGAACCGACGGAGAAAGGCGCGGGGAAGAGACACCTACCGGAAATTGCGGCTGTCGTAGACGGAGCGAGAGGAAGCAGCGTTTTAGAAAGGCGTCTTCATCAATAACGACCGCGCACCTGGCGACCGGTTCGCAGCGCGAGCCTTCGATCCCCCGTAATAAATGACACCACGGAATCGACTTCCTAGAAAACTATCGCGAATCACTGTCCGTCCATTCCGCGTCATATTATGCGCCGACCGCGGTGCCGACCCATAGATCTTCGACGTGTGCGATAATGCGTAATGTTGTCTGCGATCGAATAACCGGCGCGCAATCGTGTTAACGCTGGAACAAGCTGCGCCAAATTTAGTGGGGATGCTGGCACAATTAGTACTTGTACGTCGCTCCGTTGAATTGAGAAAATTGTTGTAACAGCGTACTACTAGCAGAATTCATGATACGAGCATCGAGATGATCGAACGTAGACTTTTTTTATAAAGTATGAAATAAATAGTTACTTTAATCAACGATTTTCTATGAAGTTCACTGCTGGCCAAGAGTGTTCGGATTCTTCTATATAATATGTAATATTCCATATATAAAATAGTTATTTCGTTAAAAAATGTTCAACGAAGCTGTTCCATAGTTTTTATTTGTCGATAACACAGTGTAATGTGCACGCTGATGGTCGAAAAGTAGACTCTTCCGTAATATATGAAACGAATAGCTTTGTTCTATAATATTTATTATGTAATAACTTTATTAAAAACATTTTAGTGAATCATAGTTTTTGTCAAATGGTGAACATGTGCGATATGCGCACTGCTGGCCGGTGGTGTTCGGACTCTTCCATAAAGTGTAAAAAGAATAGTTACCTCGCTGCAAAATTGAAGTTGTGTCTCACAGTCTTGTAATAACGTACAGTGTCGATATTGGACAAATGGAAACCACATTTAATGTAGTCTTGTACGTGGCTCCAATAATTACAAGTACCGACGTTGTGTGAAATTGTGCACAAAAATGGGCAATTTAGGAGAAGAAGAGAGACGATTATTCGAGCCTTGCAGTTAGTTTTTATCGTTACCGATTGTCAACAATTATAAAAAACGAGACGCGAGTCTCGAATAATTGCATCTTCTCTTCCCAACTTGTCCATTTTTGTGCACAATCTGAGCGTCGATTAGGGGGACGTTACTGTATTCTACAAGGTGTTGCTTCAAATGACCTCAGGAACCTCCCATTTCCGGATTACGAGACATTTTCGGGACACCCTGTATATCTACAGAAAAGAAACATTTTAGTTGATACTCGCTTGGTTCCCAATTTATTATTATTTACCAAATATTATTTACCATTGTCAGAAAATATTACCACCGGCACGAGTGTTATCAGCAGGTCCATTTGGAATTCGCACGAAAATACTTTCTTCAACTCGCATAAACGATAAGTTGAAAAGTCAACAATTATGATATTATATAATTATATAATTATTATATTGTAATATATGAAACCGCATCGAATTTCATACGAATCGTCTGCTAAGGGGTTAATGTTTTCCTCCGACGTCTACTTTCTCTTTCCATGTTTTCCGAAGAAACTTTATAGGTTTTGGACTTCGATGTCGCTGAAAAAAACTCGCCATCGCCCCACAGCGCAGAGTGTCCACCAAAATTAAGTCTAATCGATTCGATTACTTTATTTAATCTGTTGCCCGAACCACCGAAATTCACGTAATTACATATTATGTAGCCAAATATGCTGGATAATGACACGCCTCGGAAGAAGCTATCCGGAATAGGTGATGGCAAATTGCCGGCAATTTGATGTTCCTAGCTAGACCGATGTGTGGTAAGCGGATCCTAAGCGATCGTAGCGAAAGCTCTCCCTGCGTGGACCGGAAATTGAAATTCGTGTACGCGTTCGGCTGCGTTCTCTACCAGCTGCGGGATTTCGACAGCTGCCAGCCGATACCACGTGGTCGATTACACGAAACAAGGGTACCGTATTCCCGTTGCATTGTCTTCGGTGTTTTTCGAAGCTCGACGGAAAGCTGTGTCTCTCCCGTTGTGCCACACATTGCCGAACTCGATTTTGTTAAAGTCTCGAAAAAAAGGTCTCGTCTAAAAAAGAATGTAGCACCCTTTCAACAAAAGTGCCCACTTTTCTTCGATGGGTATCTTATGTATAAAAAAAATGAATAAATGTTTTATTCGCGGTAGTTCCGACAGAAATAACGATGATATTGTGAACACCCTATGAGTCGCGATCCGCGGATAAATTCAAATGCCGCGACCGATGTTATTGTTCTATCCTTCGGTTCGGTTATCCGATGTCGTGGAGCCCAAATTCGCGGAAATAGCCTGAGGAAATTTTGAAATCGTTTCGACGGAATCTGGTTCCTCGAAGTTCTCGGGATGTGCCCGCTCCGCTCCGAAGATTGGATTCGTCGACGATGTCTGTGACAAAAAAGAAGCCCCACGACGCAGCCGGGAACACCGCAAAGTTTTTGCTGACGAAACAAGCAGAGGATTTCACGGACTGCCATCGCGTGAAAATCGTAATCGTCGGCAGCGGTTATACCGGCGTTGCTGTCGGGATTGCCATCCTCTTCAAGGTTCGTGGAAAACGACTGTTCCTCTCGTCTCTTTAACCTCGTCTCCGATCCTTAATTGGCCTCGTGAGACGGGAGAATATTATTCGATAGGCATTGAAATATTTTTCAATAAATATTTTTCGATGCTGGTAATTAAAATACCGGCGTACCAAAAATTCTTCGGCGAACGAAATAAAATTTCACTGTATTTTATAATTAACTGGCTTCTCTCTCACGTGTAACGATGTTAATTTATATTACGTTCAACAGCTGGCTTCTATGTACAGTAACTTTTCCCTAATTCGCGCTCGAATCGCGGACAAAAATGGACAATTTGGGCTCGTTTTTATAGTACCCCATATTCTCAACAACTATAAAAACGAGACGCAAGTCTCGAATAATCGCATCTCCTCTTCCCAATTGTCCATTTCTGACCGCAATCTGAGCGCGAATTACTGAATAAAGAAATTATATATATATTATATTATATTATATTATATTATATTATATTATATCTGTCTCTTATACACATCTAGATGTGTATAAGAGACAGATATAATATAATATAATATCTGTCTCTTATACACATCTAGATGTGTATAAGAGACAGATATAATATAATATAATATCTGTCTCTTATACACATCTAGATGTGTATAAGAGACAGATATAATATAATATAATATCTGTCTCTTATACACATCTAGATGTGTATAAGAGACAGATATAATATAATATAATATCTGTCTCTTATACACATCTAGATGTGTATAAGAGACAGATATAATATAATATAATATCTGTCTCTTATACACATCTAGATGTGTATAAGAGACAGATATAATATAATATAATATCTGTCTCTTATACACATCTAGATGTGTATAAGAGACAGATATAATATAATATAATATCTGTCTCTTATACACATCTAGATGTGTATAAGAGACAGATATAATATAATATAATATCTGTCTCTTATACACATCTAGATGTGTATAAGAGACAGATATAATATAATATAATATCTGTCTCTTATACACATCTAGATGTGTATAAGAGACAGATATAATATAATATAATATCTGTCTCTTATACACATCTAGATGTGTATAAGAGACAGATATAATATAATATAATATCTGTCTCTTATACACATCTAGATGTGTATAAGAGACAGATATAATATAATATAATATCTGTCTCTTATACACATCTAGATGTGTATAAGAGACAGATATAATATAATATAATATCTGTCTCTTATACACATCTAGATGTGTATAAGAGACAGATATAATATAATATAATATCTGTCTCTTATACACATCTAGATGTGTATAAGAGACAGATATAATATAATATAATATCTGTCTCTTATACACATCTAGATGTGTATAAGAGACAGATATAATATAATATAATATCTGTCTCTTATACACATCTAGATGTGTATAAGAGACAGATATTATATTATATTATATTATATTATATTATATTATATTATCTATATTATATATTATATATATTATTATATATAATATAATGGATAATGTATAATATATATAATATAGAATAAAATAATACAATATAATATAGAAATTTCTGTATACGGAAAAGTCCTGCGTTGAAAAACTTTGCACAATGTGGCACAAAGTTTTGAATAAATAAACAAGATCAGGAAGAATCGTTCAAAGCTAGAAAGTGGAAATGAACGAAACTAAGAACAAAACTAAAAACGAACGAAGCGCGTGACAGACGAGTGGTGACGAAGGAATCGCTACCTTGGTTTATGATTTCGAAAGATCTCGACAAAGGACTTAGGGGCCGGAATACCCGATGTCGAACCTCGCTGGCACGTATGCGCTCCTCGGAGGCCAAGGGCTGGGGCTCGCGTACTGGTTGGCTGTGTTGTTGTACGAAAAAAGCTATTATGCAAATGTGATCCACGAAAGACCAGAAGAGGGAATTCGGCTACGGGAACAGGCAAAGGATCGGGACGTAAAAGGAAAAGGAAGGAGGCGAAGGAGGGGGCAGGGGTAGACGACGAACGTGCTTCTTCTCGCTCGTTATCGGATCGTAACGCGAGCATTTACACGTAGGACGCCCCCGCAGGATCGTCCCGGGACTGATTTATGTTAGTCACCGAGGAGAAAAGCTGAAATCCATACCCGTCCGCAAGGACACCCTGCCCTTATCGCGTTCGCTCATCCGAGCTTTGCTTTTTTTCGTGCGCGCGACCCAGCTTCCTTCAGGAAGTAGCAATCGAGACCGGGAGACGTTCGCTGAAAGATTCGCTTCCTCTTCTTGGTTCGCTAAAACGGAAGGAGAATCTCCGAAACGTTCCTCAAAAACAATTAACGCCATAAGCGTCGAAGCATCGAACCCAAAAGTTGCCACAATGTCGATGTCATTCGATTAAAATAAAACCAAAATTAGTTTAACGCCGTCCATGGACTTGGGACAAGTTTTTTTTCGAGCAAGCCGTTCACAAATTAAAGGGGTGAGTCTGAATTTCGCGACGTCGTGAACGGCATGCTCGAAAAAAGTTTGTCCACGTCCGCAAATGGCGTTACTTCTCACTTTTTCGGTATCGCCAATGTGCCATCAGATTTAGGATACCAAAGTAATGAGGATGCGTGATATTAAAACTTAGGAGATGACATCGTAAAGTAGAGACTTCGAGCTTTAATTTAAGAAAAAAAGTCATAATTTTATGATAACTTTTAACGGAATCGCAGCTGTTCAAAGTTTTTCCGCGAAAGAATTAACGATGCATTAATTTTGCTGTCGCGTGTAACTACCCCCCAAAGAACAGTGTAATATTATCATAAGTGGATCATCTTTCTGAAATGCTAATCGCCGCGCGAAAGAAGGAAAGGCCGAATATCGGAGGCGCCGTGGAGCCGTCGCGAAGTCATCGAACTCGTTAAACGAACCTAAAATGTTCGTCGGTGCCAATAAGCTGCGAAATAGATGGCCGGTGAACCGCAACCGCGCGGGAGAACGGAAAGGAGAGACGGCCGGGGAAAGAAGAAGGAGAGGAAGGTGAGAAAGAAAAGGAAGACGAGGTAGCGAACCGTGCGGTTGCTCTCCTCGTCCGGGCTTGGCAGATCGCATCAACGAGATGATCGCGGGACACCGGGCGTTCCAGTACCATCTCCGAAGGGCTCCACACTGTCCACCTTGTGGAGAGAGACCTACTACGCCCGGGTTACCTCTCTCGGTAGTACTTGCATAAGACGTTCATCTTCTTCTTGTTCTCGTCGTTCCTCGACCCGTTGTAACATGTCATGTCCGTCGGGCCGCATTAAATCGTACAAACCATCTTGCAGGTCGGCACCGACGATGAAGGGTCTTCCGTCCACCGCTTCCTGCTCCGAATCTCGTCCCAAGGCACCCCACTTTATCCTTCGGTTTTCTCTACGCTCTCGTACGACGCGCGATTCCGCGCCTGCATTTTTCTCCCTTCGAATCGGCGCGATTTCGAGCCGCGAACACAGCCGGTTTTTGTGTCGTTACAAGTCGATTTCCAATGGAACTTGCGCGAAAGATTGTTCTTGGGAGTCCGCTTCGAACGCTCTTCTTTCTAAACGATCTGTAATCCTGACAAAGTCCGCCCGAAGGTTGATTTCACTGTCGAAAGAAATCGATGTGCAGTAAATTCTCGCTAATCGACGCTCAGCTTGCAAACAAAAATGGACAATTTGGGAAGAGGAGGTACGATTAATCGATATTTTTATAGTTGTCGTCGATCGGTAGCTATACAAAACGAGCCGCAAATTGTTCGTTTTCGTGTACGAGGTTAGGTGTTTCACTAGCGAACGAAATCGAGGAGCGATGCTCGGGTCAATTAGGGAGAAATTACCGTAGTTCTCCAACTACGGCGTGTGGCTTCGATTCGATCAAGAGTCGGCAAGTTTAATTGCCGACACCTTTGATACAGCTCGAGCATCTCGCGTCGAACAAGAAGAAGAGAGTAGTAACGAAGAAGTCGGCATCCTACTATGAAAGCATTTATGGTTTTGCAAGAAGGTTTAATATTGATCGAAGAAGAAACCGGTCGTTTTGCTGGGATCGTGAGACAGCAGGGAGTACCATTGCAGGATTATAGGTCACTTCTGAATGCCAGAATTCCAGAAGTTTCTACCCCATCTACCTCGGCCAAAGTCAATGTCCAGATAGATCCGAACGAAACTGTATATTAGAGACATTTCGGTCACGCTTCTCTCCTACTATCTGCCTGTCACCATCGAAGATCCATCATACTCCCACCGGACGTTTTTTTTCCGACACGGATCTCGATAATCGCTCACGATCCGGGTCTAATTAGACCGGTGAAAAATAATAGGGTATCCTTTCTCCGTGGCCACGTGGGACGAGATACAGCGTGATGTAACCTGCGCTGCGCACAGATGGACACATTTTTCTTTGACAGATGGCGGTTTCACACGTTAAGACAAACCAGCGGCTACCTAACAGAAACGGCTTCTTAATATATTACGTTACGCCCTTGTGCTTCCAATCTGTTATTGTACACCGCTTAATCACCATACTTCATCAAGCATGACTTCCGCAGCATGCATAATATCCCAGCTGATGAAGTTTCTTCGCAGCCCCCTGCCTGCTCCTTTCTCTCTCGCTCGCGCTCTCTCTCTCTCGCTCTCTCTCACTCGCTTTCTCGCTCGCTCACTCTCTCTCTCTCTCTCTCTCTCTCTCTCTCTCTCTCGCTCTCTCTCGCTCTCTCCCTCTCTTTCTCTCTCTCTCTCTCTCTCGCTCTCTCTCGCTCTCTCCCTCTCTTTCTCTCTCTCTCTCTCTCTCGCTCTCTCTCGCTCTCTCCCTCTCTTTCTCTCTCTCTCTCTCTCTCGCTCTCTCTCTCTCTCTCTCTCTCGCTCTCTCTCACTCGCTTTCTCGCTCGCTCACTCTCTCTCTCTCTCTCTCTCTCTCTCTCTCTCTCTCACCCGCTCTCCTCTCGCTCGCTGTCTCACTCGCTTTCTCGCTCGCTCTCTCTTTCTCTCACC